GTGTGTAGACCCAAGAAGTCGATTTATGGCTTGAAGCAGTCTCCTCGAGTCTGATTTGACAAGTTTAGAATGACGATGATTGACATAAGATATCAGCAGATCAATGCAAATCGCACGATATTCTTTCAATGACATGAAGATCACAGTATCATACTTGTAGTGTATGTTGATGGCATAATTGTCACCTGTAATGATGAGATAGCGAATGCTAATTTGAAGAGAAGACTGGGGAATCAAATCAAGGTGAGACAAATCAGATGCTTTCTTGGGATTGAAGTGACTCGTGGATTTGAGGGGATGGTCTTGACCCATAGAAAGTATGTATTATATCTCATGAAAACAAGTATGCGGGGGGGGTGCAAACCTACAATCCCTTCAATTGATCAGAAGGTTAAGTCAAGTGCAGAGGCAGAAGAACCTGCTGATCGTGAGAGATACCAGATATTTCTTTTGCAGTAAGTGTGGTGAGCCGCTACATGCATGATTCAAGAAAGAGTCATATGGGTGCAGTGTATGAGATCCTGAGATACTTGAAGAGTGCACCAGGAAAGCAGGTGATCTTCAAGAAGAATGTGCATGCAGACATTAAAGGCTTTTGTGATTCGGACTGGGCAAGTTGTGTAGATGACAGATGATATAGAAGATACTGCATGTTTGTAGGTGGCAAGTTGGACCATTGGAAAAGCAAGAAACAGTCACTTGTAGGAAGATCAACAACAGAGGCAGAATACAGGACCATGGCATTAGGAGGCACTAAGAGGATATGGTTTAACGCTTTGTTGGTTGAACTCAAAGTGGACCAGGGAACACAAATGAAGTTGTGGTGTGACAACAAGTTGACTATCAACATTGCCAACAACCCGGTGCAACACAATAGAACTAAACATGTGGAGATTGATAAATTCTTCATCAAAGAGAAGCTGAATAATAGATTGTTGGAGCTTAATCATGTAGCTACTGGAGAGCAGGCGGCTGACTGCCTAACTAAAGAACTTAGCTCAGTGGAGTTAATTAGATTATGTGACAAGATGGGCTTAGTGAATATCTTTCGCCCACCTTGAGGGTGTTGAGATTTGTATTTAATGTATGGTTCTAGTTATAAATAGAAGAATTCTAGTGATTTATTTGTAAATGTTGTGTGGCTCTATATAAGCCAAAATGTTAATGAAATGAACAAGATGATTATTGCAAAATCATTCTCAATACAAAATCACCTTAAAGAAGCTCTCAGGAGCAGATTTCTTATACAAAGCTGCTATCAAAATTAACGCATGGGGTAATCACCAATTATCCCTAGCGGGCCGAGCCACACTTGCCAACTCATCCTTACACCCCATGTCCATGTACCTTCTCACTCATATTGAGGCGCCAATTTGTATTCTAAATGATTTGGAAAAAAGCTGTCGACAATTCCTTCAGCATAAGAATGTTAATCACCATGAAATGCATTACGTGGCTTGGGAGGGACACTCTATGCAGACCAGCTTACAGTGGGAACAATGGCTTTCACGCCACCATGAAGTGGAGAGGGCCATTGCGGGCTCGCATTGCCTGGATGCTGCTACAAAATAAGGATTTGCTGCTTTACAAATGTTTAAAAGGCAAGTATGACAACAATTTCTCCTTCCAGTGCCACAACCGTGCACTTCAATTTCCTTGAAGATTATATGCGAAGATATTCAGTTTCTATAGCCCATCACGGGATGGAAAGTTGCCAACAGTGAAAGCATAGATGCCACTAAGTATGCGTGGATTTTTTATATGCTCATCAACAAGTAGCCTTGCCCATGCAGCGTGCATGAGCTAGAAGATAAACGGGTCTCGAGCTTCATCCAGAATGGCAGCTGGAAGCATAACACTTTCAAAGATTGTTTTGATAAGGATTTAATTGATGCAAGTCCAGATTCATCGTGATCTTCGTGATGGCCAGATTGAGCTCAATAATCTCCGAGAAGACCATTACTGCGCTGGCTTACGATGCAATTTTTCCACAGCATGGAGACAGCCACGAATGGCTTGCCAAGCTGCAACTTCACCCTCAGAAATGTATGTTTTAGTGGCGTGTTTCCCAGGATGCCATCCCAACTAGGCGTTGGCTTCGTAAAAGGGGCTTGACGAACACGAGCATGAGCACTTTTGTTTCGCCCTAAATTTCATAAATAAATCTGATGTATTCAGTGCTTTTTGTGAATTTTCTCGTTCTATTTTTCGCTTCGTCGTCGATCGTTTTAAAATTTCATATATATCACTACAACTGGTATCAGAGTCATACCTAACATGTTTCAATGATGAAGACTGAGATCATCTTATTTCTAATTGTTTGTTGTTTTGTAGGAGAAAGATGTTTTGTAAACGTGGGTAATCAGCCTACCCACTTACAACAATTTCAAGGAAGCTCTCAAGGATCCCAACACTTCGAAGAGGTACAAAGTGCTCATGCTCGTTGCTTTTGTACACTATCCATCATTGTTGGCAGACTTGCAACGGCAAGATTCACAACCGAATGTACGGGTACATCGATAATTATTGCTGCTACAAATATCGAGGCCCTCGCTAGGACACATATTTAGCAATTTCGGAGGCAATGGGATGCTAGCCACCCTACTGGGTCGGCAATTCTTTCTTCCAGGGCCGCTGGTGCTGGAGAAACCATTCGGGATGATCCTGCTATCGACATCATGGCTATGGGACACTATTTTGAGCATTGGGACAGCTCCTAAGTCGTACTTTTGACGTGAAATCTCTCCAACAACTTTGCCAGCCATAGATATTTGGCCCCAATAGCATTATCATCGAAGGGGACAATACTAACATTATGCAATTCCTTAAATCCTCCATCAAAATAGATGTTTGGAAGCTCCAGCCGTAGTTGCGATGGACTTTGCCTTTCTTTTGAAACTTCAAACAAGTTCTCTTTTTGCATATTTCTAGAAATTGTAATAGGGCCGCTAATTTTTGTGTGAAACACGCCCTTAGCAATTCATTTTTTTTTATGCATGTAAATGATGATAGAGAACTTTCTTCTATCCTTGTTGATGACAGATCTCACTTTTGTATATCATAGATGCATGCATGCATAGTTTTTATACTTTTTTGATATACTAATACAAATACATATTTTCACGAAAAGGTGCATTTCACTTTTTAAAGGTCAAAATGGTAGTATTTTTTTAAGTGATATGATAGATTTGGGTAGTATATATATAAATATAAATATAAAAAGTAAAATTTAGGTGTTAGATACATAAATATATAGGAATTGGGCAGTATGCATGTAAATGCTAAACATGACAGTGATCTGAAGCAAACATGCACAACTGAGTAAGGATGTTCAAAAAGTGGGAAGTTGTTACTTTTTTAAAATTGGTAGTGTGTGTATACTCATCCAAAAACTTTTAGCTTCGAGTATTGGATTAAAATAGTTCGCACGAAAGACTATGTCAGGCCCAATTTAAATAGTCCAGGGACTAATTTGACTTTTTTATAGAGTCTAGGACTAAAATGACCTCATGTAAACAGTCAAGGGGCTATTTTGACATTTTGACACTTATTTTGATTTATATGCAAACGCAGTTTGCTTTTGATTTGATTCTGGCAAACAAAACATAGATTTAGTATTTCAAAAGGAATGGAATGGCCATAATCAATAGTGGCCTTTCAGTTCTGTAAATATTTGACAAATGTTGATAGAATGACTACATAATCAAGCGTATAGATTACCAAGATAGCCATCTGAAAATTTTTTTTTGGGGGCCAATTTCGCAAATGTAAGAACTCCATTCCAGCAAGCTAATGTTCAAAAACGTGACATCACATAACAAGGAACTGCAGTTTTATGTAGATAATTATATTTTAGTCGCTATTGGTGCATCTCAAACTCTTTGCACATGGATCTATTATAGAAGTGCTTCCCATCAACATGATGACAAAGAGAGAGAGAAAGAGAGAGAGTGAGCGAGCAAAGAAATAAGAGTTGGAGATAGAGTTTAAAGACTAGTTCCACCTATTTATTGATTCTGCAATTTTCCCAAAGGAACCCACTCAACCTATTTATTTAGATTTCCTCTAATTCATTGGAGCAATAGAGTTTTGGAAGGGTTTCACCAGAGAAGAAGTGAAGTGCATATTGTTTGAACCAAGAAAATGGGCGGTTCGGCTCGCTCCTTTTATTTGGGATGTGGGATTAGAGTCTCCTCTCTTTTACTTGGGCGGATATGCCCAACTTGAACCCAAAATTGGACTTAAATTAGGTTTGGAGTAGTTTAGAGTCCCATCAATGTCAAGTCGAAGTTCGAGATGATAAGATAGCATCAATCCATGAAGTAGTTATGGGCTCGGCTATGATAACAATTTTTGGCAATCCATTAAGATATTACTGCAACCCACTACAATGTAACAAGCCAAGACGAGAAGAAGAGGCTTGAGCGTATCAGCTGGAAACAGAGTGAAGAATTTCAAGGGACCTGATTCTAATGCTCATCCAGTCAAAAAAAAAAATGCATTAAGAATATACAGCAACCCACTACTTAACGACAAGCCACTAAGAGTGTTGAGGAGAGCCATTAACTATGTCAATTTTGGATTGCACGCAAGCCCTCATGTCACACCTATGAGGAGAAGCTTTGGGCAACTATCAAACTTCAATATCCATACACTTCCAAGGGGCTAGGTGTCCTAGATGAGCTTAGTGTGACCTAGTAGTGTCAAAAATTCATCTGGCACCCCAACTTGACTCAAAAAAAATTCATATTTGGTTCAAACGGTTTCAGTTCGACCCAAACCCAACCCGCAAACCGGATTTGACACCCCCAATGTGATCACCACAAGTCAATGCCAATCAGGGGGAGTCAGCATACTATAATCAACCAATTGAACAGGAGCATATCAGAATCAGCCAACTTGTTCATCACTACTTACTCAAGCCCAAGGTGATCAAGTCATACATTGATAAAGTTCTAGGATCAGTTTTCAATTTCTCTAACCGTAAAAAAAATGCCCCATGTTAAAACTCTGCAAAAAGATCACTTTTATACTTTTATTTCAGCAAGAAAACTCAGCTTTCTCCTTTTACGACAGCATGCCCAAGGTTGCACTGCAAATAAAGATGAGAAATCCATGGCGTCTTCTACCACCATTTCACTCGGATACCACTTCTCCATTCCAGAAACGAGTACTACTCAACCCGAAGCCCCCAACAAAACGAGAAAGGAAACCACCGCGAAACTACGCTTTCCCCGCCGTCCTCCTCTGATTTAACTCACCACAGTACAATTTCACCCCCACATCCTTTCAAATCAAAATTTTTCTCAAGTTAAACACCTTCCCCACCTCTCTCTTCACCTCCTATTAACTATTTATACCGATTACATAGCCCTATCGCATCAAAACAGCCAAATTCAACCAAACAAGTTTTGCGCAATGCGAATTCGAAATCTAATAACCCTATTACTGCTATTCACAGTTACCTTCTCTTCAACCGCATCATCTCTGCTCCGATTTCCGGCCGCCAATGTAACACTCGAGCATCTAGATCCCACCCTCCCGCCGGCGCTGACAGCAAAAACACCACCCAAGTGCTCTATCCTCGTTCTCCACCACGTGTTCGCGAACACAGCAGGCGAACCGCCGGCCGTCTCAAACTATGTCCACCCGACGGAATGCCCCTTTCCATGGCCGCGCGTGGTTCTGGAGCTCTCCATCGCAGCCTCCGACGTTCAGAAGGATCGCATCGCCGCCGTGTGGCTCGACGGAGCTGAGCTCCTCCGCACCGCAACGCCTCTCCCGATGGCTCCGGGGACGTTCTGGACGGTGCAGAAGGATGTCACGCGCTACGCCGCCTTGTTCCGCCGGTTGTGCGGCGTCGGCGCCACCACTACTGGTGTGGTGTCGATGATGCTGGAGAACTCAAACGCCACCCTTCCCGGCGCGTTCGCGGCTAATGTTACGCTTCATTTCTACCGCGGCCCTCTCTCTGGCCAGCGCTTCGGGTATGTATACGTAGAGAACTATGATGAAAGAGGTTCAGTATTCATTTTTATATACAAACCATGAAATTCAGGTGTAATTACATGTCTTATATAGGAAAATTGTTACATCTGGAGCTTGATGTAAATTTTAATCAGAACTTCAATCACAATGCATCACATATATAATCTGACCCAGTCATACATTAAACTATTTAGTTTTTTATATTCAGTGAAACATACACATTGCACATTGTGATTGGAGTCCTGACGCGTTGTGCAAGACTCCTGATGAAATATTTTTTCATGTATAGAGAATTTTATTATCAGCAGTGATCCACAGTGGTGAACCACATTCCTAGATAAGAGTGATGATTCAGCCACGTTATCATGCATTTCATATGGTCAGATCGTCTCTGATGTCCATACATGCAGATAACGTAATAATTTGTCCACGTCTAGACATTTTATTTAGGGTATAGTGGCAAAATAGTTCTCAAACTGTTTCTATGGATTATTTTGGTCACATAGTTTATAGAAACATTAAATTACAAAATTCATATATATTTATCTCTCACATATAAAAGAAATTATTATGGTTAGAGAACCGTGCGTCTGGACAACAACGATGATCCAACCACATCATCATGTATTTCGCATAATCGATTATTGATGGTGCCTGAACATGACACTATAATAATTTATCCACATCTGAACATTTATATTTAGGGTAAAATATCAAAATAGCCTCCAACTATTTGCATAGATTATTTTATCCCAAACTTTATACAAATATTACATTGATCCCATATTCTTTAAATTTGTGCTAAAATAATCCTCATTGATGACTATTACAACTCAAATTCAACATTCCCATGCATCAATTACGTACTTTCATAAAATTTGAGACTAAGAAAAAACTCGTGTAAATAGTCAAGGGACTATGTTGACACTTTGCTCTTTATATTTACTTACATACCACTTAAATTTTTAACATAACATTTTTATGCAAGAGTTTATAACACTTGTCCCATAAATATAAATATAATTTTTTTACTAATTAGATATATAAATACATAAGTATTGTGTGGGTATGTATGTACAATTTTGTTGGCTGGTTTATAAAGCGGAATTTAATGGGGCGGTTCATAAGTTCATTGGAATAAATTTCTTTTAGCAAGTTTACTAATTTAGATGTGAGTATGATAAAATTATATTAAGAAAACCACGGGTCTTCTAAAATTAAAATTAAAATTTTCTCTATCTATTTAAATGTCAAATAATAACTCTCACAATTGTTTTTTTTATAATATTTTTTATTTTTTAATATTTATTTAGAAAAAAGTATAATATAAATTCGAATTTGTTTAAATTAATAAATATGATTTGGACATTTAATCTCATTTAAAATTCCTTTTCATATATATGACTCACATATTTTCTCATTAGAAATTAATAAATTTAGTTTACATTTATAAATGAAATTTATAAAATTCTATTCACATGCATATCAAATATTCTTTATGTATGTATTTATTTAGTATCAAAAATTTATATATATAACACTAACCTTTAACATTACTTTAAAATATTATCATTATTATTAATATTTTTTTTAAAAAAAGCTATAGTACATAATTTTTTTTATAGAATTATGACATTAAAATTTTATAAATAAAAATATTAAAAATTTCTTTGAAATGTAAAAATTGCGTAAGAGACCACACGAAACTCATGATTCACAAATTTACTGTTCCTTTCTTCCACTTATCAAATTCTCACTCCAATAGTAAAATTCATAGTAAAACTTCAACCCATATTTTTCATTTTTATCAAATTCTCAATAATTTGATTGTGGCATAAGCACATATATCAATTGTATAATTAAAAATAATCATATGAGTTGATAACTTGTAAATATCAATATTTTTTATGCTAGGGGCAAACCTAGGAGGATAATTTGGACTTTTGCTCCTCACGCAGGAGCAAAACCGACATCTTTTTTTAACGGGGCAAGCTGCTCATAGACCCAACCTGGGAGGCTCTAGGACAACAAAGAGATAAAATTGGTATTTCAGGGAGGTGTAAAAAGACAAAATTGATCTCTCGTATAAATAAAAATCTGAATTTGAGGTGAGGGGGATGCAATTGCCCCCGACTCTACTTGGGTCTACCCTTGCCCTCATTAAATATCAAATTTACACCACCTAAAGTATCACTCTCACATTCGTTGTCCTAGCCGCTCCCACATTGAGTCTTGAGCGATCTTTACCAAAGAAAAAAAAAAACACTAGTTCTCTCACATGGTCTCTACATAATTATACCTTTATTATTATAATAACATCAAATTTGATTTGCAATTTTATATCGGAACCTCAGGTACATGATCCACCCCACCGCCAAAGACATCTACCGCCGCCCCGCCGACATCATCCTCCCCGTCTCCCAAGACAACGGCGAATGCACCACCGGTTTCTGGTTCCGCCTCCAAAACGACACCCAAATTCCCACCGCCCCCATCGCCATCCCTCGCAACACTCAGCGCGCTGTGCTCGAAATCTTCGCTTCTTACCACGCACACGACGAAACCTGGTACGCCAATCCCCTCCGCTCCGCCTACGACGGCGGCGGCTCCTTCGCCCACGGACGGTGGATTCCGTCAAATCTACGCCACTATCGACGGCCAGTTCGTCGGAGGACACATTCCTTTCCCCGTCATCTATCCGAGCTCAGTAAACCCTTATTTCTGGTCACCGGTGGCGGCAATTGGGGCATTCAATCTCCCGACATATGATTTAGACCTAACTCCTTTCCTATCGATTTTGCTGGACGGGCAGCCGCATGAGATAGGGTTGGGAGTGAGAGATAGCCAGCCGTATTGGCTGCTAGCGGGGGAGAGAGATCCCCAGCCGTATTGGCTGCTAGCGGGGAATGTTCATTTGTGGGTGGATGAGTGGTCGGATGTGGTGTCGGCCGGGGTGGTGGAGATCAGGGCGCCGCCGCTGAAGGTGAATCGGCATGCGGAGTGGAGGAATTCCGATGGGGGATCGGAGATAAATGCGGAGGGATTGGTGAGGTTTTCTGGGTGGGTGAGTTCGTCGGAGGGGAATATGACGACGACGGTTAGGCAGAAGGTGAAGTTTAGGAGCCAGGTGGAGGTGCAGAACAGGGGAGCTGTTGCACAGGTAACAAGACTGCAAGATACCTGATTAGTGATTAAAAAAACAATAATAATTGAGAATGTTGTGAATTGATTTTAACATTATTCTTAATTAAGGTGGAGATGACAAACAAAGAGCGAACATCAACGGCGGTGCTGAGAAACGCGCAGCAAACAATATCAAGGGTTCAGGTGTTCGTGGAAGCGCCGCTGCAACTCCAAATCTCTCGGATCAAAGCAATGGGTGGAGCGATATTCGAGAAGGCGAGGCTAAGCCACCAGCTACAGGAAGTCGTTAACCTCAACGAGAACGGCCAAGCCGTGGGAATCGGCGTGCTAACCGATCGACAGGATGCAGAGGGATCGATGCTGAAAGGAGAGGGGCAATCGCAACCAGTGTGGGGAAGCGGAAGCACGAGGTCATCGTACAAGTACAGGGATGGCAACTCTTGTTACCTACGCACCTTAACGGCCGCAGAAGGGATGGTAAAGGCGGACTTGACGAGCGCGTCCTGCGCAAGTGTAGGGATGGCAGAGGCTTAGATAGACGAGTGATGTATTAATGTTGGAAGTATTTGTTTCGTGTGAGAATAAAGACGTTGTATTTGGTTTAGTTAGAGCTAGTTAGCTCTAGGCTTATACAGTGGCTACTTTGTAGTGGAATGGTGACGGTAGGAGGTCAATGTGAAGATATGTTTATTGTAAACCATGTATTGTAGTTGGTCTATTTATGGGAATAAGAAGATATTAATTAGATTATTTATTTTTGTTTAGTTTACTTGTGGAATTAATTAGTTTTATATGATTTGAAGATATTAATAATGAAATGTATAATGTGGAGGTGAGGGAGAATTGATGGAATGTTAGCGGGAGCCCGATCCCGCCTCCCTATTCCCGATCGCAAAAAGTCGCGACCGCGAACTTACAGTTTCGTGGAACTGCTCCCGCCGAACTGTTCCCGCGAACAGTTTTGTTGTTTTGCAAAGAGTCGCAACCCCCCGCCTCTTAATTTGTGAAACCGAGAGGTCTTCTGGGGTCTTCGACATTTTTCTTTTTTTGCTCAAGCAGCAGGTTCCAACGTCTAGGTAGATAGGAAGAAAGGTATCGCACGACTCTCCTTCAGTTTTCAACATGACCTTTTTTGTGTTCTTCTTGGGGCTTCCTTGGGGATAGAGGAAGAGAAGTGCAAACAGTAGTTCCTTGCAGTAGAAGGAAGAAGATTGTTTTCTCTTAACTTCTACTTGGGGGCTTGTGATAGAAGAGAAATTGTGTTTATTTCTCTTGTAAGTTTATCTTCTTCAGTGTATCTCGTTGTAGAGAGAGTAAGGAAGTGAGAGATCCCTCTTATAAGTCGAGACCATCGACTGGTGTATATTCCTCAAGTAGTAAAATCCTCTGCAACTCCGTGGACGTAGGCAATTTGTCGAACCACGTAAATTTGTGTTCTGCTGTGTTACTGTTTTCTGGAGTGCATTTTCTCGTTCTATTTTTCGCTTCATCGTCAATCGTTCTATTTTATTCTATATACCACAACATGAAAGGGGGCATATGGGGCATGTAATTTGCTTGATTTTTAAGTTGAATTTACAAACAAACTATGCAACATATAATGCCTAACTTTTGCTAATTACTTATCTAACTTTATAACGTCACAATTGTATCAGAATATATACATGAAATGATATATATTATCTTGAAAAAAATGAATCTTAGTTGTATTTCTTATGCTATGTTAAATATTTTTATTTTATGTAAATAAACATGTTAAAGTTTTTTATTTTATGTAAGTAATTATCATAGGGTTGAATGCTAGAAAAGTAAATAAATATTAGTGGTATTTATGTTGAAAAAATATTACCTCTGGAGTACTGATGCATTGCATCAGTACTCCAACTCCAATGAAGAGGTGTCACGTATGCAATGGTCTCATTATAATGTCACGTGACACCTCCTCATTGGAGTACTGATGTAGTATTTTTCAATTTATGTTAATCCCCTAAGTTTAATATATATTTTCATGGAATAAATAAATATTAGTATGCCCTTATTATTTAATATTTTCAAGAACATGTCCTCATTTAAATACTAATATTAAGTACCTAAAAGTTGGTATGTGCTTTTGGTAACACATAATATGCATGAAACATTTATTATGTGATGCACATGAAACATGAGACTCTCAAAATTTGAATAAGCATTTCTTAGAAAATCCCATGCACATCAAAAATAACATGAAGCAAAAGGGGATACTAAATGTGAATGTTTGTGTATGAAAATAATTAGTGAGATTTACACATACATATACTTATAAATTCATTGTTATTTGTACATCTAACACTTTAATCTTCTTATTTGTTATGTAAAACTATGATATCTAAGTTATGCCAAAGACATCATTAATATGAACATATTTAAAGTTAAAAATACATTTTTCAGGCATAAGTTTTAATGAGTTTTAAATGCTATTGAAAGAATATTCACACTGCAGTGTGGATAGCCCAGTTTGAGAAGTACATGTTGAAATATATATATTTTTTATATCAAATGCCTCAATATGCATCGCTAAACATATGTTTTTTTTTTGGAAAAGTGAGCTCAAAAGTCATGTGTGATTTGAACCCACGACCTCCCGTTGTAAAACAATACTGTCAACCACTGTGTTGCATGTAAATGCACATTACATGTAACCTTGGTGCATTGAGCATGAGATTGAGAAGTATTACTTAATAAATATCCTTTAACTTGCAACAAAAAAAATGCAAATGTGATGTTCACTCTTTAAGTAAGATTTTTTTTTTAAAATTAAGAGGCCAAACGTTGTTTAACTTAAACTCAAACGTTTATTATTCAATTTGAATTTAGCTCCAACAAAATAATTATTTAAAAAAAAAATTCACAATTAAATTGTTCAAATCATGTTTATGATCTACAGAAAAATTCATGATTGTTTGTTATGATTTTACACGAAGATATCACACACAAATTGTTCAAATAAATTCCCAAAAGATACCAAAAAATGAAATTTTTTGTAAGGAAAAAAACACGGTGTCTAGCCCAGTTAAAATGATTATGCAACATAAGCATGTCTTATAAAATTTATGTCCCTTAATACAAGAAGTGGGGATCACAAAAATATGAATTACTAGCTAAGCTTCATATCAGAGCAATAGAAAATATTCACACTGCAGTTGGAAATGAGAGGCAATCAGAAATATTGAAACCAAATCATGGTGGTCCTACAGTGGGATGAACTGCTATCGTTGGTACAGTTCTTATGCATATATACATATCCTAGCCCTAAAATTTGATATTTACACTTATATGACATCTCGGCGCTATAAACAAATGCATAAAAATATATATTTTACTTTAAAAAAAGATAATGATGATGATATTTTCTTATATGATGTTAAATATCTCAGTGATATGATGTAAACATGAATGTTTAAAACGTTAGAAACGTAAATACACAAAAATTGTGTGGCGGCCGTGTGAATGCCTCTTCTTTATTCATTAAACTTTTGTGAGGTTATATATATACTTTGTTCTTCTTTCTTGTCAATATGCGGCAAGGTGCTGAAGAAACGAATTTGTCAAAGCAATGGAAACAAATGATTGGTTTGTTGATTTATTCTGAAGCTTTAAATTTCCCACTTTGCCACCTTGAGAAGGATGGCACAGTCATATATAAATTTAGTATATTCCTTCTCTGCTCATTCAATCCATTATTTACGTGTATTTGTGCATGTTAGATAGAGGGATGGTTTAATAAAACTTTAGGATGGGGGTTTTCATAGCCTATCATTTGATTCTTATTGGTTCACATGACTAACATCTACGTTTAATATTTACTTATAGGGCTGTCAAAAACGCTCGTTGTTCGCAAACAGCTCGTGTTCGGCTCGTTAAGTAGCTCGTGTTCGGCTTGTTAGTTAAGTAAACAAGCCGAACACAAACAAATTTTTAAAGCTCAAATTATAAACGAGCTGAACATGAACAACTCTTTGTTCGCTTGTGTTCGGCTCGTTTTAGCTCGAAATAAAAAAATTATATAGCTATTTATATAACAATATATTACATATATTATTTATATAATAATATATTATATATATTTATGTCTAATTTTAAATCATAACACCTCATGTGGCAATGTGGTTAGTGCATTCTTTTGTATATATTTGATTCAGGTTCGAATCCCACACTTTACATCTATTTTTCTCAATTTAAGTTTAACGAGCCAATTTCGAGCCGAACACTAGCCGAACACGAACATGAATATTTTAATCGAGCCGAACACGAATACACAATTCACGAGCCGATTTTGAATACGAGCCGATTTCGAACATGAGCTATTTCGAACTAGCCGAACACGAGCCAAGCTTGAGCTCGCTCAAGCTCGGCTTGTTTACAACTCTATTTACTTAAATAACAATCAAATTTACTCATCTAACTTTTTTATTTATAAATCAATCATCCCCTCTCATCACTTTTTCAAATCCTCGCTCAAATATTAAAATTAAGAGTAAAACTTTGATCTATATATATATATATTTTTTTTATCAGATTCTCAATGATTTATACGTGGTATAGACACCAATAAATAGACCGATTTGATTGTTAAAAAAAAAATGAAACCAAAATGTTAAATTTATAAATATCAACATTTGTGATTGTGTTTGTGTAATTAATCCTTTCGATTTTTTTCGAAGAATGAATAGGAAAATTTTTTGGATTGTGAATCAAGAAACCTTCCTTATTCGGTAAAGGCTTACAAGTAAAAACTATAAAAGGCTCGGCCATCATTTAACTATCTCAGCGACGAGACACACAAGGCAGATCTGGGCGCGGTGGAACGGCCCTTGACCCCTGCCAGTTTCTCCCTGCTCTCTCTTCTTCTACCTGTCTTCTTGGAAATTGCGAACCCTACGACAGAACCGAAGAACGAATACTTCTTTCGCCTTACCTCGTGCTCGCGTTCTCCGTCGTTTACGCAAGAAGTTGTCGGGAAATCCTCGTGCTCGTCGCCGATCGCATTAGGTTTGGGTGGTGGTATTTGTTTCTGATTTGAGGTTTTTCAGTGGCTCTATATGCTTACTGGAAAGAGAGTTTGTGAAGCTGATATAGAGGAAGACGGCGCTGTGATAGAAGGAGCGTTGAAGAAGCACAGCGGAGAGGAATACGCGATATCGTCAGCTTCGGGTGTGCGGGCAAAGGAGCACAATCACGGGGCAACGATGGATTACGAGTTAGCCAACGGGAAAAATTTGATGGAGATCGATGAAGATCTACATAGTCGGCAGCTTGCTGTGTATGGGAGGGAGACCTTGCGGCGGCTATTTGCCTCCAGTGTTCTGGTCTCTGGTCTCCAAGGCCTGGGCGCGGAAATAGGTAACCGGGAGATATGGAGCTTGTTTTAGACATTTCTCTTTGTATTTCTTTTATGTCGAAATAAATGCTTTAACTGGATTTGTTGGAATTTGTTTCGTTATTGGCTATGATGCTTAACTTTCGCTGATTGAAGGAAGCTGTAATATCACAGGGATGCACCAAGCTTTCTTCTTACAGTTCTGGTTCAGACCAATTTTTGATGTATATAGGACTTCTATATTGTGGATGGCATACCTATTATCGTAGTTAGTATTATCTTGCACTGAAGTTTTTTGGTGCACTGTTGTTAAATTATTTACTCTTGATTTTCTGCCTTCTGTATTCTTTATGTTATATAATGCATCTGTATTGCCTTCTTGTTGGAATTTTCATGCCCACTTGTACTTTTCTGTGTGCAAACTCATCTCCCTTTAGCAAAGTTCCCACATGTTAATCTTTTCTTATGAAAAGATGTACTACATGCATTCTCTTGATTTTGAGTAAGGTTGGACGGCTACTTATTTTTACTTATAAAGTTTAGAAATTTTTTGCCGCGTTTCACCCATCTTTTGTGCGAGTAGAAGAGGAAATTTGTTGTTTGTTACAATAATTACAGAAACTAAAAGAACTCGAGGCATATTCAATATTATCTAGGCCAATCACTTTAGTGTTATGCAGTATTTAGTATATACTCTCAACTATCATGAAGTATTTGAAACCAACACATAAACTATCTACTTAAAAGATTATATAGATAATTTCTACATATGGTTGAAGATAAGTTAACTTTTAAGTTAACTTTTTATTTAGAAATTATCTATATAAGATTATATAGATAATTTCTAAATAAACTATCTACTTAAAAGATTATATAGATAAATTATCTTATTAACTTTAAATAAGATAATTTCTACACATAGATATATGAGTTCCTGCAAACATCCCAAATAAGATTTAAAATGGTGAACTACGGAACTGTGGTGTTTTGCCTTATTGAGGCATTGCACCCTCAAGGTGGATCTTGGCCAAGCCTCAAACTACAAAAAAAAAGCATACAACTATAGATAATTCAAAAATATTTATTAAACTATCAATATAGAGAAAAATAAAACAAATCATACTCTTAAATTTTAATCCAATACTTTCCATTCTCAAGGGAAACAACAATCAAGTTAAGCACTCAATGACACCCTTGAACATGTCATAGAATCAAGATTTGTATCTCCTCTTTTTTTACTTTCAGCTAAGAGAAGAAAAAAAATCAAACTAAGAGTATAGTTAAAAAATAAAAAATATATAAAAAAAAAACTAATTAGAAAAATGAAAAAATCTGCACATAATTAAAGAACTTAAAAGAAAATTTAAAAAATTAGCGCCTAATTGTAGCACTTGATGTCAAAAGCAAAAGCATGTTTGCAAGTGTTTTTTTACTATGCAATGAATCACCAGCACTCAATTCCCATTTGCACACTACGCAACTCCTGCTTGCACGCAATTCCTTCGACTCTGCTCTAAAAAATTTAACTCCTGCTAGCATGTGATTACTCACTAGCACACGACTACCTCCTCTCACAGATGCTTGCTTTTTCTTTCAACCACAACCCTGTTTTTCCAAACCAGTTAAAACTCTAAATCTAAAAGCTTCTTAAAATTGAATGTTTAAATTAAATGTTAATTTGAAGTGTTTAGCCTCAAGGCGCACACCTCGAATGAAGCAAGTGTAAGCCTTTCTTGAGCTGGAAAATCATAAGCCTTAAAGCACTTTGCTAGGCTCTTCGTTGTGAGGCTTGTCAAGGCGGGTGCCTTGAACCCGTAAAACATGATCTCAACCTTATAAGGTTTAAAGGCAGTTTCAAACATATTTTGGTTCTACCACTTGTTCTTCCTATTTTAACCGTTCTTGCGATTTTGGTTCTATCGTTGGCCATACCTTTTTCCAATACCGTGTGAGGTTTGTAGTAAATTAAACCTAACTTTGTTGTTGTTTTTATTGTTGGTAATGATATGTTCGCAAATATGCACCCCTTAATTGTTTATTAGTTTTCCTAAACTGTTCTTACTATTTTATTTCTAATACTTTTTAATTCTCATGACCTAATACTTATTTTTGTTTTCATTTTCTTCTTGCAGCAAAAAACCTTGTCCTTGCAGGTGTTAAATCTATCACCTTGCATGATGAAGGCAACGTGGAGTTATGGGATTTATCTAGTAATTTCTTTTTATCTGAAGGTGATGTTGGAAAAAACCGAGCTACAGCTTCTGTTCAAAAGCTAAAAGAGCTAAATAACACAGTTATACTATCAACCATAACCGGTGCTTTGTCAAAGGAACAACTTTCATATTTTCAGGTTTTTTCTTATCTCAATACTATTGATTGCATTACATCTACCAATTTCACATAACCTTCAGTGTTTTAGCTTTTAGTTTATAATTAACTTCTTATATGCAGTATTTAAAAAGGCGGAATTGAGAATTGAAGCATTTTTTCTTAGTGAGACAGGGCGTAAGCCTCATGGCAGATCAAGGTGTAAGCCTCAAAGAAAAAATTTAAAACTCATAAAATTAAGGATAATTCATAAATATGAAAAACCACATTAAATCCTAATATATTTAGTTATTTATAACCATTGGATAAATGTAAATTTAGGGTATAAGAGATATTCGATGAGAAAATTGGATAGAAGTTAAATATTTAGATAGCTCATTTGCTACAAAAGAATCCACCTAGACTTATCAAATTCAATAACAATAATCTTTATATATATATATATATATATATAAAGAAGAGAAAAAAGAAAAGAAAAAAAAAATGAATGAAAAGGAC